GGGGATAAAATAAATAGCAAATAATGCTCAAAAAGAAGGAGCAAATTAACAAACGAATGAATGATCAGCCACATACCCTTCTTTGCATCTCGGGGTCTTCCAGCCATAGTGTACGCTGGTGCCTTTGGCAAAACTACTTCCGGTGAGTCATAGTCCGCTGGTCCGGGTTCTGAAGAGTATCCAAGAAAACGAAAGTGGGAATGAAAGTGCGTGAAGGAGTATTGCATAACTTTGTACTCGATATTTGAACTAGGAGTTGCACATTAAAGCCCGAGGGTGAGATGTTCCTTTCATATGGCAGGTAACATATTGTGTGTCTGAGAGAGTAGATCTATGCATTGTGTGTTAGGTGTGTGTGCGTGTGTGTCGTGTGTGTGTGTGTGTGTGTGTGTGTGTGTGTGTGTGTGTGTTTGTTTGTATGTGTGTGTGTGTCTGTGTCGTGTGTCCTGCCTAGCATGTATGAGTTTAAATCATCTCTCTAAGTATTCCAAAGCATCTCAGCGTATGTTTTAAGTACATTATGGACATATTTGAGTCCGTATACTTCATGTGTCCATGTGTGCGCATGTTGGTTTTTTGTGAGTGTTTGTGAACTTGTTCATATTCTTGTACTTTTGAATGTATGTGGATTTTTTCTGGTGCCTCAGATAAATGATCCTTAACGTCAAAAGAAGGGAAGAAGCTTTAAGTATTGTGAATTAGGCTGATCTAGACAAATATTTCTGTCATGCATTTACACCCACTTCACTTCCTTCCCCAAAGCTTTTTCCCACCTTATTTTATTCTTTTCAGTGTTTTTTTTCTTGTTTAACTTAAGGAAAGTGGGGTAGGCGGTTAAAAAGGTAGAATCGGTGTCTTTGCATACTTCGCTTGCGTCTGTGTCTGGTGTAGGGAATTTTATTGCTTCTTATCCCGTTAATGTTCTCCGTTTGGTTCCAAAGAATTTTGACTGTGGTATCAGGCATATTCTCTTCGCTTTGGGTTGAAAAGAAATTATTTCGATTCCCACATGGCATGATATGATGTTCAGTCTTCTCAAAGTACGTGTTTTTGCCGGGGGGGGGGGGGTCCTGCATTAGGAAACCTACACAGCCAAAGTGACCCAGACTGGTGTTTTCCAATTTGCCTGACTTTTTTCAAAAGATTTAAATTAGATCTATACCGGTTTGGTTCTGAAACATTTTTTTGCAAAGGCTTATGCAAATGTTCAAAATACTGCACATAATAATATTTGGGAGGATTTTTTTTTAATTTGTTGGCTTTTTTTTTACAAGGGGGGACACGCCTCTCAAATAACCTAATAGTGTTGATAGAGGCGTGAAACCCATACCATTTCACCATTTTATTTTTTAAGGGGGGGTGTAACTGTTTCTATTAAATTCACCTGAGTTGTCAACTTATTAATAAAAACAACTACACAGACAGAAATAGAAAAAAAAATCCAAAACAACCTACACTCACAGAAGAGACCACAAAATAATTAGATCTATGTGCTATACACCCACCCTTTCACTCATCGAAACTAAACTTCACTTAGTTTGTCTCTCAATCTGCGCAAGCCCTTTAAAAAAGGATATTATATCATATTCATATATTTATCAAATCGATGAAGGCAATAAGAAAATACAATATTGATTTCATTTTTACGTTTTAATCCTCTGTACAAAGTCTCACTTTAAGATCTTTTTTAATGACTTTTCTTTCTGTTCTTTAGTCAACCCGCTTTACGTTTCTCCAACACCAAAAACAGGTTTTTACATACACAGTTTTCTGTAAAACCTCGAACATGAAGGGGGGGGGGCTGGGGTGAGAGAGGGTTTGTCTTTTTTTAAATTTGAGCTAAGCTACATGAGAGAAACTATAAACCGAGCACACATCACCCTTGCTAATGCTCAGCATACGTGTGGAGAGTAACATTCCTCGAGAAACGTCAGCAATACCCCAACAAAAATATATATCTAAAGCAGAAAATCTGCGGGATCCAAATAAAAGCTTTCGATACCTGAGGCTAAACTTATCGGCACAACCTAGCTGAAACGGTTTCACACGTGCTTGGCCAACCTTGGCTCACAGCGAAATTTGTCACAAAAAGAAAGTGCTCACCGAGTAATAGTTTATTCAGAGCCGCTCCTCCTTCCTTTAGAATTTGTTTCTGGACACGAAACGAAGACAAACGTAGGTGCTACTGCCTCCTTTTGACACAATTTAGATCATTCAGGTGGCGGGATCGACCTTGCCTGTCGGAGACAACCCAGGATGAGAGGGATGCTAGATCCAAGCAGAAAGAGCGAGATTCTCTATAAATCGAGAATCAAACTCGGTCTTCCTGCGCCTAACCCCTTCACCATGAAGTCTGGAGGCAAAATCTGGCATTACACCAGCCCCACTCCCTAATAAATTTGGCCGTCTTAAAACACGAAATACGTTGTGATCAACACCAAACGATCACATCTGTCACGAACTATTATTGTAAGTTGGGCATCCTCGAGTTCCCAAGTGGTTATGTGATAAAAACACTGGCCTCTATTGAAGAGAACCAAATCTAAATTAAACCACTTCCGGGAGATGTGGATTATTGTCGAAGAGTCATTTTTGTAGTTCCTTGTTGAATGTTTTCACACGTGCGTAGATTGTGGGATTTTCTGTAATTTCACAAGTTCGAACGGTTTTGTGTTAAGGGAATACCTAACTAGTGTAAATTTAAATCCCGACAGGCCGACAAAAAGATAAAGAAAACGAGGATTGTTATAGGTAATGGAGTTACAGAGAAGATAAACATACTCTGCAACTTGAGAGAACAGGATCATAGTCTGTCTAACTTAGAGCCCCGGGGAAATATTTCTGTACACCATTTTTTTCCCCTTTGGCTTGGTCCTATCAGAAATGGACATTAACTCGAAGGCGGTGCCTTCGTAAATTACTGTTCAGTGTTGCAATTGCAGCTTTGTTTCTGTGCAACGTTGCAACGTTTTCTGCGAATAAGTGTTGGTCTCCCCAAAATAGCAATAAAGGCATTTGATATTATAGAAAGTGCCTATTTGCAACGCAGCGTTGCCATTAGCGCCACTGCTAAATAAAACACCGCGTTGCGATTAGCGCCAGTGCTAAATAAAACGCCGTGTGTTAGTCTAGGGTATATGAAGCTTAATCTACCTTCCGTTAACGGACGTTCTGATGGCCGAAGTGACAGCGCGTTTGCGTAAGAAGCCAGCCCATTATTTTATGAGCGTGGGTTCGATCCCGGTCCTGGAAGTTTTTGTTTTTTTTGGTCGTCCTCTTCTCAACTGACCAACAATCTTTCCCCATAACTATAGATTGTTGCTTTGTAGTTTTATTATGTAGTGGTGAAGCTTGCTCATTCTGGTTTTGTCCTCAAGAGGAGCTCTGCACAAAGTAGATCTAGATCTAGGCCTTAGTATTTCCTATACTTTTCCTTTTACCAATTTAGGCCAGGTTAAAGTTCAATAGTGGCTTTCCTTGGTCTGTGAATCTAATTTTTTTTTTTTTTTAAATTTAGGTTCAGGAAAAGGAAAAAAAAAGAAAACAACTTCCGGGACCGGGATTCGATGCCGCGATAGGAAGCACTGAACATTAAACTTGTACTACTTATAGCCCTAGCGAACGTAGACAGCTTGTATACGTTCTCTAGTCTCTAGACCTAACTTAAAGATAATATTTTTAGGTAGATCTAAAATGTATTGTTTGACGACACTGCGGACAGGAAATACAGCTTATATCGAGTTGCACCGTCTTGTTACTGTTACCCAAGCGTCTTTCGACTTATTTGCTCCAACTCAAAACTCAAATGATTATGATTATGAGATATGAACAAGACTACGTCTAGTTTACTTTTGTGCAAACAATTTCAGAAACAATTGTTAGATTTAATATAGATCTAGATCTAGATTGATTGGAATAAGACAACGTCATAAAAATGGAGTCAAATCCTAGTAGGTTTGTCAAGAAACTGAGAAAGCTTCCACAATTCAGGAAGAACTACAATATTATCATGTAGAAACGATGGCTACTAGATTTAGAATCTAGTACTGGCGTTTCAAATAGCATCGGAGCTATTCAGAACGCGGCGTTGCAAATAGCGCCTGCCTAAAATAATAATATAATGATATTCTACTACATGCAGGAAGTAAGCAAAGGAAGTAGTGGTTCAGGCAAGTGTGTTTTACGAAGTGCATTCAATGTGGACACAATACCACCACCTACCCGGCCCCCATATATTATACCCTCCACCCCCTCCCC